TTGATCCGTATTTCAAGAGAATTCTTTATCTTTTTTCAATTTTTTCGAAAGAGGCCTCGTTTTTTTCGAGAAGTTTGGAATAAACTTTCTCCCATAATTAAGGATTCCTAAGAAGCTTTCTAGATGCTTTTTATCTACAAGATCATCCAGAAATTTCCTATTTTTGGAAATAATGTGTTCCTGAAGTCTTATACCTATTTGGTTTAAGACGATGCTTAAAAATTCGATTGATGTTTTCTCAATCTCCATTTTCTTAGGATTTAAAATGATTCCATTCTCAAGATATTTTTCGAAAATGATTTTGAGATGATTTTGGTGTTCTTCTAGGGTTTTGGAAAGCACTAAAATGTCATCTATGTAAACAACACAAAAATCTTTTAAATCTAAAAAAATACCATCCATCCATCTCTGAAATATCTTCAGTGCATTGCAGAGTCCGAATGGCATTACCTTCCACTGACAATGGCTGTATGGAGCACTAAAAGCAGTGAGTGGTCTGGATTCTTCTGTTTGCCTGATTTGCCAGAATCCTGACTTGTAGTCAAACTTACTAAAATATTTGGCTCCGTTGGTTTGATGTATCAATACGTCTTTTCTGAGTATAAAATACCCATCAAACTCAATGTTTTGGTTAAGCCTTTGATAGTTGATTACCATCCTGCTTTTCCTTTTTTTTCCTCATTATGGTTTCTTACCATAAAGGCAGGGGTTCAATCAAGTCTTTTTCTAGTTATTCTTTTAACTGTATTACAAATTCATCTCTATCTTTTTTGAGATAGACCATGGGTTTTACTTTGATGATCCTATTTGGATCAGAGAGTCTGAGGCTACAATAACTTGGACTACATAATTTCAAAGGGTTTTCAGATAAATTTGTTTCAAGAGTTTTGTAAATCCAATGAGTAGCATCTAGCTCTTTTAAAAGGCTATTTTTTATTTTTGGAAATTTTTGTATGGTCTCTACCTGCTTTTGAGGTGAGAATCGAAATTGACATCTATACTTATGTTCTATAAGTATAAGTATATCAACTTTATCTCCTTTTTGAGTTAAAAGTTATTTTGTCTGAAAAGATTTTATTTGGGTAATGATTTTGTTAAAAGTTGTTTCCCAAAATGAAATCTCCATGCATAAATGGAAAACAGAGTATCTTTGGGATGGAAAACTTTTTATTTCCCAGCCAGATGGCAATGTTTTGGGCTTCGTACTTTATGAGAGTATTATTCCCATCAATGCCAGTTGCATGTAATTGGCCTTTTCATTCGTTCCCATTTTTCTAGTGGCAACGCCGTTGGGCAATAGGCGCATGTGGTAGCTCCTGTGTCAACCAAAATATCAAGGTGATATGGTTTATAAACTTGAAAGTTAAATTCTCCCAAAACAAACAAATATTTTTTCTTGTTTTGGTTGTGCGAGAAGATTATTTCTTCCCCATCTTGAAATTCAATTTTTGAAAATAAAACAGTTTTTTGAAGTTCTTCATTTTCTTCATTTTTTGTTTAACTGGTGTTTCCAGTTTCAAAAGTATGCGACAATCTAGGGAAAGTTGGTATCGTGATGTTTTTGAGACCAATTGGTTTTCTGCCTAGAGATAAGTCTTGTGGTGCAGGACTATTTGGTGCAGGGAATTGTGGGGCAGGACTATTTGGTGCAGGAAATTGTGGTGCAGGATTGTTTGGTACTGTATGACTCAAACTTTTGGTTAAAGTTCTTTAGTCAGAAAAATAAGAGTTTTTCCCAGATGCCTGAAAAGTTATTGGTTGTAAATCTTGGTTGAAACTTTCTTCTGAAAAATATTCAATCAACCAATTACAGGGAATTTCCAAATCCTTCCAGTTGATTAACCGGGGTTGGATTTCGTTATCAAAATTTCGTGGTTCGAAAATTTCGACAAACTTGTTATCAATATTTTTTGTTGAAGTTTTAGTTTCGCTTGTCAGTTCGTGGATGGCTTTCTACTCTATTGCAAGATCGAAACTATTGTTCTTTATACTAATGTTTTTGGTCTGAATTAAAATTCTCACACTATCCTGGATATTTTTATCGTGGATAGACATGAAATAATTCGGTGTTATTTTAAACCTAATTTTTCAAGTGACAAGATTAGATTGAATGCCTCCTATTATTGCTTTAATAGGATCATTAAATCTTTTATCTGAGACAACGACAAGGATTGGTGTGTCAATTCCCTGCCTTAAAAGTGTCGTGATTTCAATCAAAATGATTCCTATATGCATATATCTCAACCTTGGAAATTTTTTGATCATTTTGGAAATCTTGTTTTTATCAAAAAATAGGAATTTCTACAGATCCATTTTTAGTTGCTCTAGCATTCAAAATGCTGGATGTTCCAGAATTGGAATTTCGACATCCTGTAGATTTCTTCAATTTTGAGAGTTTTTAATTTCGCAATTTTTTCTTCATCGATGAAGAATTCTTCTTGAATCACATCACCAAGTTTTACAATTTGTTCTGAAATCTTAGAGGTGTTTTCTGAGTTTTTTCTTCATGCATCATAAAAACATATTCATCATCTTCCTCTGACGCACTGTCAGATTCAGAGACATATTCAATTTCATCTTAAGGGAGTTCTTTTCCAAAGCAAACTTCAAAGTTGTATTTGGCATTTTCGCTTTTTGGGGGCAATTAGGTGCGATGTGACCTTCTTCATTGTAGTTGTAGCAACGACCTGATTTCTTTGGTTTGTTGTTATTTTTTCTAACAACATACCTTTTTTTCTTATTAAATTTCTTTTCCTTTTTCCACTTCTTCCATTGAAATTTTTTCTTGTTAAAAAATTTCTTTTTCTTTCTTTTTGTTTCACACCCAAATTCTAAATTGTTTTTTAGAAGTTTGGTGCTGTTATTTATGCTAACCCCTTTTTTGACTTGCTTGGTTGCTTTTACCTCATTGCAATGGTTTTTTATGATAGTAAACACCATCCTATTTCCAAGTGTATCTACTGATGTGTTATCAGTAACATACTTGTCATATTTTTCAGTGCATATTTCATCTCATGGAAAAGGCAATTTATTGAAAAACTGTTTTTTTCAAAAATCAGATTTGTTGTCATCTAACAATTGGTACCATTTTTGAAATTCTATCCGCTCCTTATATGTATTCATTGGACCTCAATTGGTAATCTGCTTGTATGTATTCATTGGACCTTGTATGTTAGATAACAATTGTTGTCGTCTAACAATTGGTGCAAATCCGCTTGTCTGTCCACCAATTGTTACCATTTACATGAAGATGGGAAAGAAAATGTATTCATTTTCTTGGTCTTATGTTAGTTCTATCCTTCCTAGTTCATCTTATCTATCTTTTGTAATGTCATATCCATTGTTTCTTTCCTTATTCAATGTGTTTTGTTAGTTAAAAATGGAAGCATGTAGTGTTGCCATTTAGATATCTCGTTTTTTTGACAATTATGTTTGATCAAGAATAACAAAAACATTTGGAGAAAGGGGGGGGAGGGGGGAGGGGGGGAGGGGTGGAGAGGGAGAGAGAGAGGGAGAGCATGTCCTCATATGCGGATCCATTATCATACTTAACCTTTGTCTTTCAACAATTTACTTACAACCAAAGAATCCCTGTTGCCTCTCACTTTGTGAGAGTAGACGCTGCTGACAAGAGCATTGTTAGAGTGTTGCAAATAGGTTCATTTTTTTACAAGGTGAGAACCGACTCTACATTTGTTATATGCGCTAGTTTCTTAATTTATTTATTGTTTATTTTTTTCTCATAATGTTTATCCATGTGGGATTTTACTTCCAAACTTGTTTTGTTATGTTGAGGTTTCCATTTGTTTGTATTTCACATGCATTGTGTGCGTGTGTGTGAGAAAGAGAGATTTCCTAAGAAGGATGGAAAATATTCTAATTCATCAAAACATTTAGGAAGAAAATGGCCTTGCTCTAATATAGATTATTCTTGGATGGGGTTATTCTTTTGCCTTAGGGAATGACTGAAATCAATATAAAGGGCTTTGGCTTGCATAGGCATGGCGTACATTTGATGCTTCGATATGATTGAACATGTTTCCCAATGGTGCAAAGGCATTTTCTAATAACTTGTTAGGTCATTACAATGTTCACGCAAGCATGCATGCATGTTAGTGTGTACATTGGTGCGTTAGTGCAAGTGCATGTGTATGAGAGAGAGAGGGAGCATTATATGTGTGTTTGTATGCATGAGAGAGAGAGTATTAAATTTTATCTATGTGCATCTAAGAGAGAGGGAGAGCATTATATTTTATTTGTATGTGTGTGTGTATGAGAGAGAGAGAGAGAGTTGAATAATACATCTCAAAGATTTATTCATATATTTATGTTCCCTACAAAAACTTAAGTAAATTGACCAAGTTGCCCAATTTTTATATGTAGGATATGAAGAGGATCCATATTGAATATTCAAATTCACTTCTTTATTTTTATTTTTTTTCTTTCATGCTTATTTTTTAACGAGGGGAATTTGCCAGTTTTTAGCTAAGAGAAAACTTTATGAGACAACACAGTTTTTTTTAGTTTTTAGCTTCAAGAAAGATGCCACTGCTCATATTGAACCATTATTTAGTTACTCACTTAGGGGATAATAGTCATCTAGTGATTTATTTCACTGTTCATCTAGACTTTGTAGTCTACACACTTCATATTCCCATTATTCTCAAATAATGCTCGCAAAATTTAACACGGTAATAGATTCAGTAATTTTGAAGCAATTTAATTTACACAAGTAAATGAAATGAACTTTTTTTTTCTTTTTTTCTGATTGTATTCTAGTAATTGTTTTGTTTATTTGTTTTTTTTTTCTTCTGCCTATTTATTTTTCTCGTTGGCTTAACTTTTACTTTTACTTGTTTTGTACTTATTTAGTTCCTTGAAGTAATTATTTTCAAATTTGTCTCTACAACCGTGATAGTCATTCAAGCATTCCACGGTTTCAGTTATCTATCTTTAGGACAAAAATGACTAATTACTTGGATCTTTTTGTGTGGTTTCAGGCTCTTAATTCTCTAAAGAAGTTGCCCTTTTAAGAGTCATCGATTTGGAGAAGAAATGGAATGGAACAAAATAGGAACAAAAGTAGAATAAGTGCTACTTATAATCAATTCTGAAATGGAATGGAACAGAAGAGGAACAAAAGAGGAATAAGTGCTACTTATAATCAGTTCACAGAATGTTCAGCTACCCCCTGGTTACCAGTTTTCTCCAACTGACGAATTGCTTCGCATTTATTATTTCATGATAAAGATCAATTCTTTCTCAGTACTTGGGGACATGATTGAAGATCTTGATATTTATAACTTTGACCCTTGTGCTCTTCGTAGTAAGTTCAATTATAAATAATCATATGGTAGTAGAACATTTAATCTATCCAATCTACTTATGAAATACTAAATAATCACATCATACTAACACTTGAGTTTGGTTCTAGTATGTTACTCTTGTTAAACCATTTAAATCTATTACTGATTTTGTCATCTTTCTTTGGATAAGTTAAGCCTGACTTAAAATTAGAACTAAAATAATAAAGCCTGGTCATAAATTTCTACTTCTGTCCACATAATATGTTGGTGTTGTCTACTGTGATGCAATAGAATGTGAATAATCTCTCTTAAAATCAGAACTAAACTCATCAAGTTGATTTATATATCTATACTGGCGTGATTGCATCTCAATAATTTGGTGGGATTGCATCCTACGATAATATGCTTCATATATCTACAACCATCATTTATCCACTAAGATGGTTGAGATAAATCACTTCCATTGTCAAATTTATTAAGGAGTAGGGTTGTTCATCAAAACCATTCCTTAGTGACAATCGATGGTTGTATTACATATAGCATCATGTCATGCTAAACTTTCCCTCATTTTCATTATTCGTTTTGTAACCTTGGCAATTCTTTAAATGTGTTTTAGTTTAAAGCCATTTGTTGATCTTTCTATCTTTTGACCGTTTTTCTTTTCTTTATCAATACGGTTCTTATTAATTGCTCTTGAGATGGATAATTTGATAGAGAGCTCAATTAGTTTTTTTTTTTTTTTAATTTTGTATAATATTTCTTGGCTTTTAGCTGACAGAAACGGCTTGCTTGCAACGAATACGTGCTTCGGTAAAGACACATGATATTCTTTCATGCAAAGAAAGAGGTCTTCTCGTCAGTTGAACTCCTGTGGAATATCAGACTGCTCTTTCGGGCTACACGATATCATTGTGGTCGATGAGATTCTACAATTGAAGAAAGATGGTGAGGAGGTGAGAATCACATCATCTTATTTCTATAAACTCTAATTTAGACAAAACAAAATGACTACTTACTTGCAATCATTTTTCCTTTCCCTAAAGATTTACATATTTATATGTTAGTTCATACCATTCATTTGTTTTCTACTTTTAGGTCTTCTCTTTCTTTGAATCGCTTTGCCATATCTGTGTAAGTTTATGTTGTTTGTCTCATGACCGTTGTGTAGTCCACTGGTATTCGGTTTATAAGAAGCTCCAAAAGAACAACCATCTGTTTGATGCTGCATAAGACTAACACCAAAGCTATAAATATAGCTCTTTTATATCAGCTGACCAGTCAAGGCATTCCAACCCAATTAAATTAGCTCATTTCATGAAATTTACAAGATGATACCATCCAAAGGATGTCCTCTCTAGTGTTGAAAGATAACACTACTTGATTCATACTTGGAGGGAATTAGTGTGCATCATTTCCTAGGTTCACGGTCAACGTTTGGAAATTGGATAGCCTTACAAATTAGGAACGCTCATGCCCACGCCCACGCGTACGCGCACGCGCACTCCCACGCCCACGCCCATGCCCACGCCCACAGTAGTGTAACTGTCTTGTATATAGTATCCCAAACTTGGTTGTATGGGAGAAGGTAAGGACAAATAGTGTAGAAGGAAACAATACTGAATGATAAATTTGCTACTAAATTGTAAAATATACAAAATTATTTATAAAAACTGTCACTAGACATTGGCAGCACTTAAGTATTGAAATTATACGATCCTTAGCAAATAAACTCCTAAAGCCCCCAAGAGTACCATAAGAAGGTGGGAAGAAGCCACAACGGAAACAAAATGAAGATACACCCTTATATCCCATCAAAGCAACTTAAAGAAAGCCCTTTCAAGAAGTAATACGAGAGCCTTGCAATCCATTATGACTCACTAGTAAGCAAATGCATTTGCATGATCTTATATAGAAAATTAGTCTAGCTCACTGCAAATTCAATGATGTAATTTTCAATATCTAGTTTGAAACGCTAAACTAGCAACTAGTTAAAGTGGCGCTACGTCCAATTAATTCTAAGATGAGATTAAAAACTAACTATAATATCTAGTACAATTATTGAAAAGGATATTATATTTAGTGGAACAAAAATTATGTCAGGTTTGAAGCAAAATCAATATTGACAAACATAAGGTTCTCAATAAAATAACTCCAGGACATGGTAACCAAAAGATCCCAAGATCCGAGTGAAATGAAGCCTAGCCAGCCCTATTTTGAGCCCAGTTTGGAAGGTTCAAATATGCAATTTTAGCTTAGGAGTGTACAAATAGAATGACAGTGCGATTCGACATCTCTGTAAATGTTAGATAGTTGTTCTTTATCATGCAAGTATTTGAGTCCTTCCGTAGCATCAACAACAATTTTCACTCGATGTATCCAATCAAGCACTAGACTAGGCTTAGGCTCTTTGAACCACCTTTCTTTTGTACAACCAAGAAATTATAACTAAAAACAAGTCTTTTAAGGTATAATTGAATGTATATTTATATCAATAGAGCAATTACTGACAAACAAGAATGTGAAATGGAAATTCAAAATGCAATGCAAGATATCATGTAGAGAACCCAATACATGAAGGTTTCCTCAAAGCAGTAGCCAACAAGTCAACCACACAGTCAGGCCTTAGTCTTGAGACCGTAGAAACATTGGGATACACAAAAACTACGTACAAAAAGTTATAAATGCTAAAAATTGAGGAGAAAATTAACAAACAACTAGACATTAAAAAAAGAAAAGAAAAAAGAATAACAAACAACTAGCATCATATGAAGTATATTCCCTCCATATGCGGATAAGTCATAAGGCCACTACTAACTCAAAGGGTCCCATGGTGAGAGTCTGGAAAATGTACCTAAGTTAAAAACTTAGTATCGAATTCAGGTTCATCCAAAACATCGAACTTCTTCATTGCTACAACCTTTCCATTATTTAGAGTCTCATAATAGGCTCACCCATGGATCTAACCAATCAAAGATTTTGACTTGAAATTGTTGGTTTTCTCATTGCAAATAACTCTTAACTTCCATCTTTTTTTTCACTTTTCATTTTCTTTGGTTTACACATCAGTTTAATATAGCTATATATAGGCCATCAATTTGTGGTCTTCTCATTATGTATTCAAATTACATGACGTGTTTTGATTGTGGATGGCAGGTGATTGAATGGGTGTTGTGCAAAGTTTATAAAAGTCCTAATAGCGGCAAACACAGGGCTAAGAAACAAAACAGTCCCACACATAAGACTAGAAGATAAAGGCGACTGGCCTACAAAGAGATGAGATTGAGGCACTCATATTAGATTGCTATCGTGAGATCTCATTTAATAATTTGAAGATACAAATTGATGCGATGGATGTACTTATATTTGTTTATAATAGTGAGCTCTCTTCTAGTAATTCAGATGAACTTGATGTACATGCTTTGATATAATTAATAGGAGAAAAAAATTAAAGGTAATATTATTGATGAGGGATTGATCTATAGACATGAAGTAGTCTAAGTCATCCAAAATTAGCTGATAAAAATGTCAAGACGTCTCTTCTTCGTATTGTGTCAAAGCATGTGATTGATACCTATTATATTAGGTATCATAAAAAAAGTAATTCAAATGACGGTTTACAAGCTTTGACCCAATTGATAAGATTAGAAAATTAAAGAAATTGGTTTGCTGAAACCTGAATGTATTATAGTAGTACATATGAATCACATGTTTTGACACAATACGAAAAAGAGAAGTCTTGACATCTTTATCAACTAATTTTGGATGACTCAAACTATTATACTTGTAGATCAATCCCTCATCAAGTTCCATCCTTTTGATTTTATTCTTTATTAATTGTGTCAAATTTTGTAAATCAATGTCATCTAAATTACTAAAAGAGAGCTCACTACTATAAGCAAATATGAGTGCATCCATCTTAACAACTTGCATCTTTAAATTACTAGAGGAGATCTCACGATAGCAATATAATATGAGTGCTTCTATCTTATTACTTTGTATCTTCTCTTTTACATCAATGTCATCCCCTTATATCAACTCTTCTTTTGCATCTACATCATTACTTCTTCTTCTTTTGCATCTGCATCTTTACTTCTTCTGCAACTATATCATCACTTATCAAAGACATGTTAACTAGACTTCCTTTCCTTGCAAAAAGGGTTTGGCCTCGGGAGGTAGCTCATTTTGGTATTTGTAGAGAGAGTTGGCCTATGTTCCAATAGCTCATTTTGGTGCTTCCTCCCCAATGGGGAACTAGCACATTCTTCTTGGATTTGTGGGTTTTATGAAGAGTTGTTATCTATTTATCATACCATATTTAATCTATTGCTATACAACTCCAATGAGTGGATTTTTCCACAATTGAAAAGTTGTCATCTATTAGTCATAGCATATTCTATCTATTGCTATACAATGCCAATGAGTGAGTTTTACCACAATTGAAAAGCGGGTTGACCATAATTGAAGAGTTATTATCTAAGTACATGATTGGGTTTCACCAAAATTGAATAGTAAATGTGGGTTTTTTCACTAAGCCCAGAAAGACATGGTTGGAATTAGTGAGAAAAGATAGTGAGATTTTGGTCTCACTGAGTGTATGACTCTTAATAGAATAGAATGACGTATCGGGATTTGTGTAGCCGACCCAATTAATTGGAAAAAGGCTCTGATGATGATCTGGATTTGTGTAGCCGACCCAATTAATTGGAAAAAGGCTATGATGATGACCTGGATTGCTGTAGCCGACCCAATTAATTTGAAAAAAGCTATGATGATGCTTGTTTGATTGGTTTCAAGATTTATCTAACACGATAGCTTCTTATGTAATTCAATGAAAATTCAAGGACATTTTGGCGCTTTTTAACCCCTTTCCTCTTCATGAACATTGTATTATAAACCCTCGTCTTTGGTCCGCCTTGACCTTTCTTTATATATTACCATTTTATAAGAGTTGATCTTTGTGTGTCTTTATACATTGCTAATTAGTAATCCTGCATTGTAGAATACAATAGAACTAAAAGATTATGTGGTGTTAACACTATGTTGTCGTTGAGATTTTTTTTCTCTTCGAGGTTTGAAATTTGTTTATAGTTTTTTGAAGTAGGATCCAACACGATTTGATTAACACCAACTTAATTGTCGTCGTGGTTAAGTAGTTGGGTTTGCATTAGGCTGAATGGGCCCACCAAAAAGCCATAAAAAAGAAGTTATTGTAATTTATGAAAATGACAGTTCGGTCTATGGTAGTCTATTATGTATTTTGCATAACTTATTTTCTTGCATTAAGTGTTGACTATGTTGGCTACCCTATGGTTGTTGCTGCACCACTTGATAATGTCGATTGGGTAATTATCTTATCTTGTGGGGTTGCTAGAAGAAGCACGAAGCTGAATTAAGTTTCATAGCTATATTTATAATGTGTGGGTGCATACGCTTGTGTTTCGTATTCGAATTTCTTAACCGTTCATGGTTACTAATGAACACTTCAGTCCTCTGCTATTTTTACTGTGCATACAAAGGAGACATACATAATTGTGTGAACTATCGAGGGATCAAGCTTATGAGCCGTACTATGAAACTCTGAGCGAGAGTGATTGAGCAATGACTAAGGCATGAAACGAGCGTATCTGAAAATCAATTTGATTTATGTTAGGAAGGTCAACAACTGATGTTATTTTCTTACTTAGGCAGTTGATTGAGAAGTTTAGAAAGAAGAGAAAAGACTTCCACAAGGTCTTTATTGATGTAGATAAACTTTATGATAGAATATCTTGAGATTTGACTTGGTGGATTGTTGGAAAATGAGTCTTCAAATACTACATCGACTTGGTGAGAGATACAAATAACTAGTGGAGAGACAAGTCAGTTTGCACTGACACTAGGTCTACATCAAGGGTCAACATTGAGTCTATATCTCTTTACCTTAATTACGGATGGCATAACTAGGCACCTACAAGATGAGGTACCATGGTGCATGTTGTTCACAAGTAACATAATTTTGATCGATAAGACCCAAAACAATGTCAACACAAAGAACTTTGGAGGGATGCCCTAGAATTCAAAGGTTTTAAAATTAGGCGGACTAAGATAGAGTATATAGAATGCACGTTTAGTAATAATAGGAGTATAGACGATAAGTAGTTAAGATTAATGGTCACGAAGTACAAAAAGATTGCATTTTCGATATCTTAGTTCGATATTCCAGGAAAATAGAGAGATTGAGGAAGATGACACACACATAATTAGAGCTGTGTGAGCGAAATGGAGATGTGCAACTGAAATTTTATGTGATCACCGCAGACCAATGAAGCTGAAGGGAAAGTTCTATAGGACATTTGTGAGACCAGCTTTGCTCTATGGGGTGGAATGTTGGGTGGAGAAAAAACAATACGCCTATAGATTAAATGTATTGGAGATGAGGATGTTGAGATGGATGAGTGGCAAGACAAGAAGGGATAGAATTCGAAATGAATTCATTCAGGAGAATTTAAGTGTGGCACCAAAGGCGATAAGATGAGATAGAGTAGACTTAGATGGGCTAGTCATGTATGGTGCTGACCAAGTAGAATACCTGTTAGAAGGTACGAGTTAGTTCAAGTGGAAGGATTGAAAATGGCAAGGGTAGGCCTAAAATGACGTGGTTAGAAGTAGTACGAAAAGATATGGGCACTTATGGCCTCACTAAGGGTATGATATTTAATAGAGCAGAATGATGGACCAAGATTCGTGTAGTAGACCCCAATTAATTGGGAAGAGGCTATAATAATGATGATGATATTATGTAGATTGTATGTAACCAATGGTGAATGATATTGGTGGCTGATTCCCTTGAGAAGCATAGAGCATGAAGATGAGTACATGATCAGTGAGAAAGAGCTCTTGGTGAAGAGGTGAACATTGTTATTCCTTAGAGTCTCCACTTTTGAGTACATTTTTTCTCATAGCAGAGATTATTTAGTATCTGCATTATTGTTTGTTATATGGAGTTTATACTAATACATATATTTCTTTTTAGTTTTATTTAAATTCCCAATAGCGTGGGGACATCCAAATTTTGGAGCATTTGTTGCCAGCATAGTCAGGGTAATAACCATGATTTAATCGAAATCGTTAGAACCATGATTAAAATCGAGGATATCAGTTGACCTAGCTGTGCTTATTTTCTCAATATTAAGGTATATCTAAAATAATAGTTGATTTGCCTTGTAAGGTTTCGTGCACATTGCAGGTTTTCCAACCATTGTATTTGCTCACCTTGTGCCAAGAGGATGTGAGAAACTCTAAACCCTTTGACAAAATTTGCAGAAGATGTGAGAAACTCTAAACCCTTTGACAAAATTTGCAGAAGATGTGAGAAACTCTAAACTCTTTATCCAAGAATTGCTAATTTTGATGCTCAATTTTATTTTTTCTAGTCACTGCCTCAAGAGAACATAAGGTAATGTTTCTTCTTGTATCCTTTTGCACTGATATGTCTTACATGCTCATGAGGGAAGTTAGACTCAGCTGAAGTTTGGAAACTGCGATGATGGTCTTGATTATTGTTTATCGCTTAATTATTCAAAATCATTTCTGAGCCCGACATATTTATAATCGCATTTGCCTCAATGTACATCTCTTGAAAGTACCTTTTAATGTCTCAATTCTACTGCGAATGACTCTTTCAAAAAAACAAAAATTTCCGTTGCAAAGTGAATATCTTTTTATGCTCCAATTCTACTACCAAGCTTTGATGGGGGGCTACCGTTTTTCCTTTTAAATAAGGAAAAATATCATTCAAGGGATCAAACTCCCTTACAAAAATCTTATAAAATTATTTAAGGGGGTGAAAAGATCTCATTGATATTAAAACATTGATAAATTAACTTTTTAATTTTCATTTCACTTAGACACCCTATCAAAATATCATTTCAAAAACATATAAATTGCCAATAGTTAGGGGTGAGCACTCTAAAAGCAGAGGCAGTTTCCATTATTATCCTTTCCACAATCATTACATCTTATACATTTTTTTTCATTAGAATTCGAGTTATGACATACTTCCAACCCAAATCACCACTTTTAGAGGAACCTGGAGAAGATATTTTCATTTAACAAGTCTCATTTTCTTCCTTTTCTGGTTTTACTAAATTCAAATATTGTCTAATCTCATTCTTAATAGCTTCAGGAACTTTTTTACTAGAAACAACATTCTTTTTAATATAGGCTAAGCATTTCTTGAATCGGTTAATACCCCCATTACTGAAATAAGATTACAATAGAGACAAAAATACGAAAGGACATTGAGATTATACAATTTTTTTCAGAAAAATACAAGACAGACAAAAATCGGTTAATACCCCCATTAGTATATTTTTCACAAAAATTATACATTATACAATTTTTATCGTTTGGTTTCGGGTTATAACCATACTTCCAACCCAAATCACCTCTTCTAATATAACCAGAAATAGACCCATCCAAATGACAAGGATTATATTCTTGTTTGTATTTTATTGAATTCATTTATTGTTTAATCTCCTCTCCGATAGCTTCAAGAACATTTTTACAAGGGGCAACATTCCCCCTAATACCAACAAGATGTTTTTTAAACCGTTTATGCCCCTTTTTGTATCATTTTCATAACAATTGCATCTTATGTAATTTTTGTCATTTGGATTCGGGTTATAGCCATATTTAAAACCTGGACCACCACTTCAATTAGGTCATGAAGCAGACATCTCAAAATAATACAAGTAATCTAAAAATAAAATTTTGCACGTACTTTGATTGCTCGATCTCCAAACTTTCACGTTTGAGTTTTTTTTCTAATGCCAAAATCTTTTAAAACACCCTCTAATGGACCTAAAAACTTCAAAATTAAATCTAATCTCAATGGGTGATGTTTGGATCGATTTCTCATAACTTTGATTGGATATTTCTTACTTTCTATTGCAATCTGCTCGGCATGACAAGTCAACTGTCCAAATCTACCAACATAGTTGCCCAACTGCAAATGTCAATGACATAAAAAAAGGCCATCCTTTCTAGATGATAGCATTTGGACAAGTCAGATTTTCACTTTAGCAAATAAAGAAATTTCCAAAGACTTGAAATCTGCAAACATGAAAAAGAATTACAATAAGGGAAACATCACTAACTTATTTTTATCTTCGTGTGAATCAACGTCTAGCATTCCCTCACGCTTCATGGTTATGATGTTCAATATTAAAATAGCAGAGACAAGGAGCCCATGATCCTGAATGGATCTTACCTGGAAGCGCAAATTCCAAGTTTGTCTATGAAGAGCTGATCTAATTGTATTAGTATCTATAATTGATTTCTGCTGTGTAATACTAATTGATAGGGCCTCATTGGTAAGTGCTACAAGATCTCGTGCATTGAAACCCATGGTTATGGACCCGAATCCGTTAGTATGGAACATCTTTTCTCGAGGCGTTGGAAATCCAGATAGGGCTCATAGAATCATTGGCGCGGTTCTCCCCCCCCTCCCCCCCCCCCCCCCCTCCCAAAAAAAAAATAAAAAGAAAGAAAAGCAAAAAATCCCCTTTGTTTATTCAATAAAGATTTCCCCCATCCCCTTTGTTTATTCAACAAAGACTTCCCCCATCTCCTTGACGA